CTTGTTCGCAAGTGGCTAGGACCACGATACTTAAGTGTCCGTTAGCAGAGGTTCAAATACAACTGTATATTACTTTCGGGTTACTAGAAAAAACGACTTGTTCATTCAAAGCAGGTTCAACAGGAAGTTCTCTGCAGGTAGTCGACAAGTGGTTTCATTGAAATTACCTAATTTGAAAGCTTTAACAGACTTCGAGCTCTAAGGGAGGAACCAGTTTCTGACTTGCCACCACAACGCAAACAGCTGAACCAAGAAAAAAGATGAAGGCGCTACTGTTGGGGGTGTTGGTGTTTGTATCGTGTGGTAAGTGAAAAAGATTGCTGCTTGTTTAAATTTCGTCCATTGTCCGTTATAATTGAGACACAATGTAAGTGCTGTTTTTTGTAGATTAGTTGTTTTGCTTTGTTCGTTATGACTGAAACAATGACTACTCACAATCGACCAGTCGCGTTTTGTTTGAACAGTGCCAAGCATTAAAGCTAACCCGCAAGATATTTAAAACTAAAAGTATTCATTTCATTATGTCTGCGCACAAAGTTTCGGAAAAGCTCGAACGCTCTCATTATATTACAGAAAATTATATTGAACAACAAAACGTTACGAAACAAAACTTTCAGGTGAACACTCCTGGCATAGGAAATCTGGATGGATTAGGTACATCTTTGCTTACAGAGAGACGTTCTGAAAATGTAAAAAAAAAAAAAAAAGAAAAAATCCCCAGTCGGTGAATGGCCCTTTTAACAAAATATTTTTCTTTTCATTTTTAAGAAATTGAGGAATTCAATTCATAAACACTTAATAAGAGCAAAACATGATTACACCTTTTCTAAGCTAAGCTTAATCGAGGGAACCAGATTTGCGTAACGAATCAAATAAAGACCTCAGATGTTTTCCTCTGATTTTTTTTTAGGAGTTGATGGTTGAAATAAAGCGGATTTGATGTTTTCAGTTCCTTAACGTTTCCGATGAATATTTTCTTTGGTTTTATCTTGGTTTCTTTTTTCATAGTGCTTGCTCATCCACGCGTTGAAAAGCTGACAGATCGCACGGGGCAGGAACCTGCAAGGACACAACCTTCTGCAGGCCACGTGCCTTTGATCCGACACAATTCAAGGGTTGGTCCTGGTAAGTTTCAGTAACTTCCTCAAACTCCGGCCCTCTCCATGAACTGAATATCGTGCCCGACTTAGGTCGTGCCCGACCATTCCACGAGTACATTCAGAAACCAAAATGTAAATCCGTCAATTATGAACTGAACCTGGCTTTACATTGCGCCAACAGGAGACGGCGTGGGCTTGTGGGAAGGGTGCGGGAGTTGTAATCCGGAGGTCCCGGGTTCAAATCCTCCTCCCTGTTGCCAAATGAATTTCTGTTCGGTGGTCCCGAATTAAGTTCCTCCACGTCTTGTCAATGAAAAACTGATCAGCCTCCAGCCAGTTGCGATTTTTAACAAGTTTAAATTTCTGTTTGCAGTATCGTTTTTCGATTAGCAGTGTCCCCAATTAACACAGCAATGCTAAATATCCCTAAGTTATAAAGTGACTTATTTGTATTAGTCACCCAAAGAAGCTCTGTCTACTATCTTGTTTACCCAACACGTGACCGGATCTTACGATTTGGACATCAGGAAAAGTCTTGTTAAGGCGGACACTGCAAATCGTTTCAATTTTGTGTAACTGGTGTAACTCTTCTGTTCGCAAACCACATACTAGTGGATCTGTAAGGTGTCTCGCTAGCCTAGAAAATCCATTCATGCCCATAACTTCAAAATGAACGCAAGGTAAATTGTATAATTGACGAGAGAGAAGTTCCTTCATTTTTTAACATAATGACTTCTGATCAATGACTCACCCCACTCAGCCAGCGAGGGACTTCCATGGCCCAACTTTTTCTACTTTGCGTTCTTTAGAATCTTACCAGAATAGCACCAAGGCCCCTAAAAGGGAAGAAATTTTTGCGTCAAGAGATGCGCGTGCCTCCAAGCGTGGTGCATTTGCTGCGCTGCTGGCTGACCCCAAGGTTCAAGAAGCAGTAGTTGATAAAGGAATCGAAGTGGCAGGAAAGTTGGTGGACAAACAACTGCAGATCATCGATGACGCCCAGCAAAAGGCTGCAGATTTTCTGAAGAAAGAGGTAAGTATAAAGAAGCTTCTTTGTGATAGTGCACCTGGAGAGCTTTAAAAGTACATGGATTCGATTGAGCTGTTTTGCGCCGTTCCAGCGTACACTTACTTGGCATTGTGTTCCTGGTGTGAACCTCATATAGGGTACCTAAATTGTATCAGCTAAACTTCCAGTGCGTAAATGCCCAGCAAAACGAAAAACAAATTCTATGCTTGATGTTCAACTTCCAATGTTACAGAAATGAAATAAAGCTGAACCGTTCACGCCATTCTTTTTTTTTTGTTTTTCCCTTGAACAGGACTAAGACCCTTGGCGGCGCACACCTACCTGACACCCCGGGGTGTCTAGTCCTATTAAATGAACTAATAGTCATAACGTAAATAAATAAATCATCACGTTGCTCTTCATTTCACGTTTCTGAGTCACCAGTCACGTGTCAACGGAACAAACAGATCCTCTATTTCTTAACCTTGTCTAACAGACTGCGAGTTCACACTTTTGTCCATAACGTGTCATTTCGGTCCTTTGATAGATTAAGCTAGACATTACACCCGACAAAGGATGGGAAAGCGAAGATATGTTTGTACCCCCTGGATATCACATCGGCGCAAGCGTTACAGGAGGGGACAAATCTCCAAAAGAAGTAGGAGAAATTCCTTACGTCTTTCCCGCAGGCCTTGGGACCGCGTTGATGAACGGTTGCTGGGGAACTGATTACAAGGAGACAGATCCTTGTTATTCAGCTAAATGGAAGTCAAGCGTCTGCCAGGTGAGAAATTAAACGTAATTCAAATGTTGACATTAGTAGAGTAGAGTAGAGCAGAGCAGAGCAGAGCAGAGCAGAGCAGAGCAGAGCAGAGCAGAGCAGAGCAGAGCAGAGCAGAGCAGAGCAGAGTAGAGTAGAGTAGAGTAGAGAAGAGTGGAGTAGAGTATTTTAGACATATACATCTCAATGTAGTTAAACCCAAATTCAGCCAATAGCCACCTTGTAACAAAACCAAACGCAGTCTCCTTGACCTGCGGCTAATCCATCCCGGCTGTTGTTAAAGAAGCCCCATAAAACCTAATTTAACTTTAGACATGTATCGTCCTAGTCAGACTTCATTAAATTCATCGGCTCTGTTTTCTTACACAGGATATGATCGATGGAGCAGCTTTTATGGGAGTCGGGTTCGATGCCCGAGGAAAGTACAGTCCGGAGTCCAGAAAAATTAGCATTGTACAGAGGAACTGCGCTAACAAGGCAACGTACGGTTACCATTTCCTCTTCACTTAACATATCCATTATAGTTTGCTTTTGATATACCGTTAGATGATTTCTTGCAATTGATATTTCCAAAATATTTTATGGTACTGTTGTGGTTGTCTGGTTTAATCTCTAAGTGTTGTTAATTTACCTGCAGTAGTCGCAATTACCAACTAGATCGGAGACACCGTAAGTTATACTAACGTCATCACTGTGACCCTGCTGTTTTTGAATTGGATCTAAAATTCCTCTCCAGCAATCTCGTTCCCAGAGCCCACGTGTCTTTTGGTCAGCGCCAAGACGCGGAGCTCCGTGTCTTGAGCGCTGACCAAAAGACACGTGAGCTCTGGGAACGAGATTGCCTCCCCAGGGGAAAAAGTGAAGCATGCGCAGAGTGACGCGTGTTTCTATCTTCTATGAACCTGCGTGATAATACGTCACCGTAAAGCGTTGGCAAAATTCTTGCATTCCAATATGAAGTTCCTTATTAACGAATGCTCTTGTTTTTAGGTATGATGGCCTGGATGTTCCTGACACCATGAACGTCCACGGTATTTACGACACTTCTGCTTCAATGATGACTTATGAGAGTCGTGAGGAATATCAGAAACAGTTACAGCAAGAGGCAGGCGTCTCTGGCTCCTACTTTGGTTTCTCTGCTGGAGTGAAAGAGGCCTGGGGAGAGTCTACAGCCTCCTCACGTCAAAAGTATATGGCAGTGATGGATGTTGACGTTGATCGGTAAGTGAAATCCTAATCCTCCGTAGGAAAAAAGATGGCGGCTGTACATTTTACAACAATACCGTGCGAACCCTACACAGCCCAAAAAGTACAAGGAAAGCCATATTTTTGCAATATTTGTCCCAGTGCTAACGACATAGTGCATGGTAGGTTGAAGATATTAGAGCTTTTCTGTAGGTTTTTATGAGTGTTGTTAACGTTTTCGTGCGCTAAGAACTTTGGGACATGTACCAGTCGCCATTTTTTTTTCCTACGAAGGATTGTAGCCATTCCATGTGGTGGAACGTACATGCACTAAAGAGAAACACGCAAGAAATTTTCCACTCCAGGAATTGTTTTCGTTCTTTCTTTTTGTTTTATCTTTCTTTTTGTTTTCATTTCCTTCGTGGGGTAGCTGAAATTTAGCCCGTCGCTTGGTGCGTTTGATAATCCTAATGTCAGGTGCTAGTTTCTTCCTTTAGATGTCCGCCTTCCCGATTACACAACATATATGTGCGCTGTCGTAGTCCCAAATTTTGCAAGGAACTCCTCTTCACCAGCAGTGAAACGCACCAGCCTTTAATTACTGGGATGGGGGACCACTACCTTAAGCAGTATAAACCTTTGAAGCTATATAGAGACCTTTACATTAAATAAAGAACGAGGCCTAGGACGATTACCGATACCTTTTACTTTCAAAGCAAGCTCATTTTCCGGGTTCACTGGACAACAAAAGCAGGGATTCTGGAAACGAGATTGGCCTGACATGTGACCATCTTAGGTACATGCATAGCCCGCAACGCACGAGAGTCCGCTCGCTGGCTAGAGTAAATACCAGCTACCAGATTTGAAACACGATGTACGCCCTTGCTCCTGAACTGAATCCATCTGAAAGCAGCTGCAAATCACATCTTGATTTTCCTTGAAGATTCATCTTCTGCATAGTTGATTTCGAATTCTTGGACGGCCTTAACGATGATAATCATGCATTATCTTTCCAGATATGAAATCTTCATGGATGAAGTGAAGCCGCAAGATCTAAGTATGTCATTCCTGCGAGAGTTCATGAGTCTACCAACGTCCTACTTTTCAGCAGGCGGACCTTTAAAATTCCGTTAAGTATCAGTCTTGAATTTCTCCTTACAGTAGCCGGTTCTTTCGCTTGTCACCATTATAATGTTGGAAAATTTCATTTCATAAGCATCTTACGAAATAACGTGAAAAGATTTGTAAAGTTTCAATGTATAGTGGAATGTGTCGAGTGAGTAAACTGTAATGAATGAATTGTATATAGAGTGACTGAAGCATACAATTATAGTATCGAGTGTTTTCAAAAGTGTGAAGTATAAAGTGCTTTGTTTAAAGTGTAAGTGTAATATTGCTAATAAATTATGTTAAATTAAGATCTTCGATCCACTCGCAATTTGATTTAGAACATGACAGTTTCCATGAAAAATCCATGCAAAACTACATTTACGTGGTAATTCACTGCGTTCTAACGAAAGCTAATTATTCTACCCTTTGATAACTCGCAAACAAACAAACAAACATACATAAAAGGCAAATAAACAAACAGACAATGTTATTCGACAAGGTGGTTTAACTATACAAGTTTAGCTGCTATGCACGAAGTATTCGATGTAACTTGGGAATGATAACAGTATGACATATGTGTGGCTATAAAAGGACTGACCAGTTTTACAGTTTCCTTGATGTCACTTCAACAAGCTGAATCGTTAATTTGACTTTAATTATGTACTTTTTAGAAAACTATATTCAACGCTGGGGAACTCACTTTATTAAATCCGCAAAGTTTGGAGGTCAATTGGAGATCCGTAAGACAATGGACGCTGAAGAAGCTAAAAGCAAAAAGGAATTTGAAATTCAAATGGAAATGGAATTTAAGACATTGTTTGCCAGTGTTGGAGCCAAGGCGTCTGCACAGGAAGGCGAGAGCAGCAGAAAACAATCGAAGACCACATCGACTTCAGTGGTAGCTCACGGAGGAAGTCAGGACATTGCATCTATTCTGTCAGATGTGTACTCACCAACTTTCAAGACGGAATTCAAAGAATGGCTCAAGACAATTCCAACCTATCCAAAGGCTTTTAGGTTCCAAATGGGCTCCATTACGGACCTTCTTAATTTCCGTGCAAACGACTTGTTCCAAGAGGAGACTGTGAACTGGGGCTGTGAAGGGAATGCCGCTCATTTACAGACTGAAGAGAAGGAAGGCAAAACCCTCAAGTACTATGAAGTTACAGACACTGATGGAAAAACGACGAGATATTACTGTAAATATGACAGTCGCCAAGCACTGGAAGATGCCATTCAAATGCGCAGGAGGAGCTTAAAGAGAGCTATTGAAATCTACATGGAAGAGGTATGAGAAAATAGTTTTAGTCTGTTGTTTTCATAAGCTCTAGCAGTTTGAATATACGCATGATATGAAACCCGCATGAAAACAAAAATCGTTCGATTCTGTTATGATAGCTTTTGTAGTCCAGTCACAATCATTATCGCTACTATCCCTAAAATCTTTCTTCTGTTTAGGACTTTATTTAGTTGTTCAGGAACCACTTCGTTGCCTGAAAGGTTTTGTGCAAACTTCATCTTTCCTCTACCCAAACTATGACAAACAGCGTGTTACTTTGCCGTTAGCTGTACAGACATCAACCTGATGAAACGAGATTATAACATCAAAAAAGAAAAGAATTCTGGAATTCCTGGTCGGTGCTAATAGGCCCTTTCCGAGTTGCCTCTCTGTCAAAACGAGTCTTCGTGCGAAACCAATCATAGGAAAATGTGTTCCGCCTACAGGTTCATGCTCATCCAAATCAAACTCATTTTCATATAAAAGGTTTCGCACGAGGACACCGTTTTGAAACAGAGGCACCAGGTAACTCGGAAATGGCCCATTGATAACAACATTATATATGTGGAGGGCCCCTCCTATGCGAGGTTCGACCCCTTTATGGAAAACACTCTCGACTGGTGTTTTACTGTCCATAACTTTATCAGCATATTTTTGTTCACTGGCATGTCTTTTCTTTAGGGTGCAATGTCCATCTCAGATATTGAGTTGAATGCATGCACGAAAAAGGATCAATCATTCAACGACAATCCACGAAGCCATTTCTGGCGCCGTAAGGACATTCCATCGTGGGGAACAATTACCAAGCACAGCAAAGAGTTCAAGGTTTCTTTCGACATGTTAGACAATCTGCCAAATGCCTACCGTGAAGGGCTCGACATCGGGCACGACATGAATAGGCTTGTGCGATACTACAAGAAGAAGTGGTACACTAGTGACCGAGACGGTTCATTCCACTTGTACGGCGGGTTCGACAATGGGAATAGTGGCAACACGTCCCAAAGGAAAATCTCAATCCTTGGTCTTGTGCTCACTTTTCGGGAGGCTGACGGAAGTCTCGTTCTTTCCAAAAGTGACTTCAAGGCGAGCAAGAAGTTCTTCCCAACTCTTTCTGAAGAATTGATGGGAACTGAGTTAGCCCGAGTGGATATACCATCTGAGAAATCCGACAAGAGAACAACAGAGGCAGCCGAACCTCAGCCAACGTCAGGGCAGCCTTGCCAAATTAAATGGTCCAATGCTCTTCGGTTTGATCCGACGGACACCAATGGCAAGTGCTTGCATTTCACCGCTTCAACGGCGGGAATTATCTATGTTGTGTTTGCAGCTTTACCTAAGGATTCAGACACGCGGTATTATGTGGAAATATCTCCAGAAAGGGTTGCTATTCTCAAGGTGATCATTTACGTGATTGCAATTTTAGAGAGCGAATGTAAAATTTGTTAATTTACACTTCTTATGTACACGATGCACTAAAGGTAATCCAAGTTTGCCTAGAACTGACTGTCCACAACTGTAAAATGATTAATAACTACTCTGCTGATATTTTGAGTGTATATGTTATTCGGTTTTACGAGTGGTGCTGTTCCGCAAATATTTAACGTTGTTGTATTTTTGTTTGTAGGGTACTACTTTAAAGACATCTACGACGAATTCCAACGCCCGGGCCCTCGGTGACGCTTCCCTTTACCAGTCATACTTTGTATGCATTACGGAGTCTGAACAGAGCACACTTATTGAGTATGGGAAAAGTCTGGGGACCTCAGACAGCGGAGATATCTATCTGAACATGATTGATATTGAGGATCCTATTAATGCACGTTTCTATGCGTTCGGTAACGATGAAAACCCCGCTAAGGTGATGGATGCTCATCTAGTTTCGCGTCAACTAACGAGAGCAGAATGCAAAGGAGATACCGTCAGGGACATGGAAACAAATCTCTGCGTTCAGAAATGTCATAAAGATTGCGATCCCTTAGCTGGTAATACTGAAAGGGCACTATCATAATAACATGACTTGGAAACGATAAAAGTTAATCTGTGAAAAAGTAAATATATATAGTGAGAAACGTTTTGTTTTTTTCATTCTGCAGGTTGCAAATCCTCTGCCGACAGCCCTGACTTATCCGATGGATGTAACGCTTGCAGAGTTGCTCTTGATGTTGAGAACAGTAAATGCATTCCTGAATGTCCAGAACACAAAACACTGACCAAGGACAAGAAGTGTGTCCGTAAGTAAAACTTCTTAATTTTCTGGGAAAATAAGAAATACGCTGATGCCTGTAATGGACCTACTGTATAAAAGATTGAACTCCGCGCATGTGCCTTAGTGTACCAGCAGGTGCCTCTTATCAAACGTACAAGTTTTGAGTGGTGAATAACTACGCGCCCCTATGTTTATTTTGAAATAATGATTGCAAGTCAATACGACGTCCATCAAGATTCTAAACTAAAGCTACTTAAATGATCGATCCTACGACCTCCACTGTCTACACCAACCACCCATGCAATCAACCAATTCATTCTAGTTTTTGTAATGCTGGCCCGGCGACATGTGTGGGTTGATTTTGTTGTTGGTTATCGCTTTGCTCCGAGGGTATTTCTCCGGGTTCTCCAATTTTCCTCCCTCCACAAAACCAACATCTCTAAATATTGTATTTTTTAAATTTAAGAACGGACCTCGAGCTTAATTTCTTGATTTTCATGCTTGACTCAAGGCGTAGGTAGCTTCAAATCAACATCTCATATGCTTATAAGGAACTGACGTAAAGGGACCCTGACCACAGTAGAAAAAATATGTGGTAGTTAAGCAGAAATTTGATATGGTATTAAGAAAGTAACAAATTGCGCTGAGACGTACAGAAACATACATACAGACAAAGGAAGAGACTAAAAGAATGGCGACAAGAAAACACTGAAAACAAATTAGCCTGTGTAGCTGGTGAGATTCCTCTCACGACTACCTTGCTACGGAAGTCTCGAGCGAGAGGGGCAAAACAGATGAGTGGGTACACACGCTCGCTAAATCTTGTCTGCCCTGCATTCTAAAAGCAGAAGAAGGAAACATATGTTAAATTTATTAAAACAGGCTAAAAAGTACCATTTCTTTTCTTTTTAGCAACATTTGATGCAAGAGACACAGTGGAGTTTTACAACTTCCCTTCCATATCGGAATTTACAATGTGTTTTTGGATTAAGCTGGACGAGTCATGGACGGGTGGAAACCCAATCCCTCTCTATTATCGTCAGAAAGACACACAGATAGTGATTTTATTGTATCTAGAAAGTGGAGAAATTCAGTTTGTGTTTCAAGTGACACCAGAATTTCAACAAGGCCATGAAGACCAACGGTAAGCATTAGTTCAACGCCAACGGTAAGAATTAGATTAACGAGTGTCGTCCACTACAGTAAGTTAAGGTAAAGTCTGCGTACGAGTCAGACCGGAGCTTATCCCGGTTTCCTTAGCACAGAGCGACTAGGAGTATTTCTACTCCCCCCTGGATGGGATGCTAGTCCATCACAGGGTTACCCCCAGCATTAAATTCGCCGGTACCCATTTATACACCTGGGTGGAGAGAGGCACTGTGAGAGTAAAGTGTCTTGCCCAAGAACACAACACAATGTCCCCGGCCAGGGCTCGAACCCGGACCGCTCGATCCGAAGACGAGCGCACCAACCATGAGGCCACTGCGCCTCCCGTCCACTACAGTACAAGTGCTTTAAGACGTTCTTTTATTTGCAGCGAGTAACTCAAGTTCACATCCTACTGCATGGCTGTGTTCAAATTTAGCCGCTGCCAGTTTCTATTCGGACAACAAATGCAAAACTTGACAGCTATTCCTCTTCCAGTTTAAGCACTTTGATTGGGCCGGTTAAACAACAGCAACCTGATAGTTGTCAAAAGATTGAATGAAAACTTTGTCAAGTGGCAAGGCGCGTCATTCAGCGCTGTAAGACGAAAAATTGTTTTTTCATTACAGGATGACGCTAAACCAGCTAAGGGACTACCGGTGGCATCAAATTTGCGCGACTTGGTCTGGTTTTAATGGAGTAGTCCGCTATTATTTAGACGCGACGGAAATTTTATCAGACAGAAACCCAACCAGAGGAGAACTTCGAGGAGGGCAAAAATTGAGTATCGGCGGCGGCCAATACCTGTTGACAGAATTCAATGTGTGGAATCGAGTCCTTAGTGAGCAAGACATAGCAAACAACGCAAAGAAGTGCGACGGAGGGAAAGGAAACGTGATACAATGGCACCAAGGATTTGAATACCTAACTACTAATAAGAAAACGTACAACAGCCCTTCCGTCTGTGAAGCTCCAGCCAAAGTAGCCGCCGCGGAAGCAGTCACACCTCCGACCAATGAAGGTTCCGGTTAATTAAAGTAAAATATATTCTATATCTCACTCAAAGAGCGTAATTATCTGACCTCCAGCTAATAGCAACTGTGAAACGGCACAAAATGTCTTCCATTGAACCAATAAAGTTGTTTCTGGGTCAAGTTGCTGAGTTAGAAATCTTGGTCGTTTAAATAAGCCATTTCCGAGTTGCCTTTTGCCTCTGTTTCAAAACGAGTCTTCGTGCGAAACCATCCATATGAAAATGTGTTTACCCTAAAGGTTCATTTTCATCCCGGGGGAGTACTCTCACAAAAATTGGGAAGGGGTGTGCGACCCGCTTCCCAAAACCCTTACCCTATTTATGACCAAAATATGCGATTTTCCCTACCCTATTTATGACCTGACCAAAAATTTGAAACCCTATTTATGACCTGACCCTTAAATCAAAACCCTGTTTTAGACCTGCTTTATAATAGTTCCCTAGTTCAGACCAATGTTAAATTACTGTAAACAAAATTTTTGAAGGGCTTTTATTGATTTTCTTTTCGATAATGATGAAAAAGTGCCTTCTTCTTAAAAACATACCCGTATCAAGGCTTGAGTGCAAAAACCATACCCTATTTATGACCAAAATGGCCAAAATCAGCTAAAATCTATACCCTATTTGTGACCAAAACGGCTGAAAAACCATACCCTTTGGGTCCGCACATACCTATATAGCCCATATAAGGGAGTGGCCCCCCTCCCGGGATTTTCATGCAAATCAAACTAATTTTCATGTAAAAAGTTTTGCACGAAGACTCGTTTTGAAACAGAGGCATAAACGAACTCGGAAATGGTCCATTATTGGCTTATGAAACGCTTCAATAGCTTATAGATTACTGGCCGATGTTCGGGAAAATGAGACAGCGCTCCATCCACGAACTCATGCACACGATACCGTAATCAACTCTAAAGCCCCCATTTGCAGGGTCGGTAGGGGTAGCTGTTTTGACTTAACAAACGTTCACGGCGAAGGCAGACTGGTATGAAGTTGTGACTAGCATAAACTTTCCTCCGTGGTATTATCTATTTAAATGCGAGTGTAAAACAAACACTTAAAAACGCGGAAAAATTTGCCAAGTCGCAGTATAGACTGCTGCGCGTCTTATCTTAAATTGTATGAACAGTTATTATCGTAAACTTCCGATAATATAAGTCCTTCCAAAAATCAAAATTGTAATCTTGGTTACCTCTACATAAGGACCCTTTGCATTCAATTGAATACTTTTCTGTTGCAATACACTCCCTACCCATATCTTATACGCTGTCATGTCAGTCCAGATACTGTATTTTCAAGATGTGCACCATCACACGTAGTAAACAAGTAATATCGTTTCTTATTGCAGGGTTCTACCACCTTAAGTATTCGATACATGTCCGTAACTGTCGAACCGTCCCAGTCATATCCTGAATGGTTCTGCATCGGTGTTAGTTTACTAAACGATCCCTTTGAAAGGCCCTGCACGAAAATGGGAAAACTGAAAAATGACATTGTTGAGATTGGGGAACATTGAGATGGATGAAAAATCTCGACGCGCCGTAGTTATAATATGTAATGATAATAATCTCTGGTCTGTCAGATACTTATGTTGCTGAAGGAGGAAAGCTCTACCGGCCGAGTTCCGAGGGGGGGGGGGGGGGGGGGGGGG